ATCATCACTCTTTCCAAAGAATAAAAATACTTCACATGTCATAAAGAGCTCTGCCATGTTTTCAAAATGTCCAACAACAGACTTGATACAAAAAGTATGGCTTACAAGTAAAGAAACTATTTATAGTAAAATGATCATGTTAAGATTTATTAATCCAGTTTCAGGTTCTCAGCCATTAGCAATCTTTCTTGGCATGTAATTTGTAAGTACCACCGAAAAGCCCTAACGAAGGCATGCAACATGCCCTAGCTTTAAAATGAGGTACTCTAAACATATTTGACAATGACAGTAATTGCTCTTAGTTGATGGCACAAAGGGCATCACTTATTCTAAGTTTTTGCTACACTAAGGAAGGACCAAAAACACATCATATAAAGTTAGCCACCGAAAATATCTTATCCAATAGTATCCATGAACACACTGATAGAACACAGCTGGTTAAAGAAAGAGAAAAGCAAATGAAAAGGCTCTGAACATTAACTCCTGCATCACTTTAAAAAAAGAAAAAAAGAAACTCCAAATATTTAAGCACTCCAACACAAATATTTCTTTATGCAATGACAAGAATTAGATCAAACCTTTAAACTAAAAGGGAAAAGATTTCCAAGAGTGGCTAGAAATCACAGATGAATTGTCTACTTCAAAGACCCAAAAAATAAAATTGAAAGAAGCAGCAAGAAATGGAAAACTCACAGATGGATGGGAGTGAAATGGGGTAATAGAAGTGTGTAATTGATATCAGTGTTACTCTTGGATTATGAATTACGAGAATACGTTCAAAGACTCGTCTTCTTTCTCTCCGACTCCAAGATGATGGCAAGAACAAACATGCACACGTGCCTAAATTTAATCCTAATGTCAACACTTAAATATATATATTGGAAACTTATTTATTTATTCATTTTTATTAAAAAATGAAGATATATACGAAATTAACACAAATTATAAAATATTTTCCAAACTAACATATTTTGTTTTGCAAGTGAGAAAATCCGATTTCTATGATTTTTTTATATATATATTTTAGTATTTTAATGTTAAAAAATTGGAATTAAGAGCCTAATAAATTTCTCCATGTCATTTTTTTATTCTTATTTATAATTTAAGAAAACTAGAATTTTAATTTCTACAATATACATGTTAAATTTAAATGCTTATCAAGTATAATCAAATTTATAATAAATTATAATATAAATAAATATTATATATGAATATATAAATAATATTTAAATTTTAAATAAATAAATATTTTTAAACATATAAATTATGTTTTAAATTTATACTAACAAATACGTGATGCACATAATATACGAAATAACTCAATTAACAAAAGATATTCTTAAGGAAAAGGATTAAATTAAATTAAGAAAAAACAAAAATAACTAAATTTATAAAATTTGAAGCTTAATTTATAAGAACAACTTCGATTTTAATGGACACAGTGTATTTTTTTTAACTTACAAGCTAATTTTTTTTTAAAATTAAATCTTAAGCATAAAATTTCATATAACATTATTTGGAAATTTCAGTTCGTTAATATTAATTCAAAGACTAGCTATTAAAGAGCTTTTACTTAATTTGGTATTTGAAGTATTACTTAATTCTCTCTGTGTGTAGATAAAAAAAGTTTATTTGTTGATTGAAAAAAAGAGAGTAATATTAAATTTTTTGTAAACAATGGATAAGAAAAAGGATGGGTAAGATTGAAATTTTTGTAGGCAATAAATTATTCTATAGTTTTATTGTAAACTATTAATAATGAGCGGGTGGTTGTCCCTACCACACACAAAGACGACTAAGTCAGTACCAAAAGTTTTGATAATTTTGTGTCACTTGTGAGAGGAAAGAGTATGTATGTATCTCAGTGTACCAAGTCTCTTCAATTGTTCGACCAGGTTATGCTTCGCATGCCATTGAATTAATTACAGTACAATAATTAATTAAAGGAGAGAATATATGTTAGGTGTCACTTGACTCAACTAGTGATTCATTGTAGTTTTCTACAGAATTGATTCAGAAGACCAAACTAAAATATTGAACGCGTTTTCATCAAAACAAGACGTTTGGACCTTATTTCTCAATGCATTTATCCCACTACAAGAGTAGAAAATACCTTCCTCATTTCAATTAAAAATTAAACCAATAAATTAATAAATTCTATATACTATAGTTTCTGGAAAAGTATGCTATTTTCACATGATTCATGAATAACTATATAATGCACGAAACATTTTTGATACGGTCTCTTCTTGGAATTAATCATGGAGAGGTAATTTTTTATTAGAGTTTCACACTTAATTATTGAGTGGCATAGAAATAATGAACCTGTTTACAAATCTATCATCTTCACAAGAAAAAGTTGAAAGTCTTAACTGTTTTATACATAGTGACGCAAAAAACCTTGTGAATCTGTCTAGTCTCTACAATTATCTGCAATCCTTGAGTTGAGGTGTCATGATGAATCAACTTAACTCAGGAATGGTCTCTAGCATGGGTCTCCTCAATCTGTGACGAACATCATTATCTCTTGTTTTCATTAAGCGAAGCAGAACTTGTTCTGCAGAAGCTGTTCTTGCTTGCTTCGTATTAAGCTGTTGTTGGTTATCCAACAGTGTGCCAACTCTTTCTTTGAAATCTTTATTGTCAGTTTTTCATTTGCATCAGAAGAAGAATTACTTAGGGTTCCCATAAGCTTCTCCTTCTGCACTATTCCAAAATTGAATGCATGAGCATGAGCATGAACTTGGTCAAACACCTTGCTGGAGGAGTTGTTCTCAGACATCAAAAAGCTCCAGTCCTCACCGTCCCACTCCATTGATGATGCAGCCTTACAACAGTTTCCCATATGATCAGATGCTTCCTTAAAATTATTTATGCAGTAATCAGTTTGCAATTAATAAAATGAAGATTGATATATATATACACTTAAGGGTTGGAATAATATGAAGTTTGTGATGGGAGATATCTACATATAGAAAGGGAAATGGATGATATGATGAGAATACTGACTTTTGAAATTGAATTCAGAATTGGATGATTAGTCCCGACCTGACGGCAGCTAGATGTGGTCTCATTCTTGTGCATGGCGGCCGAAAAGGCACTTTCGTTGACCAAATACTAATATATATATATTATATAGTTTGATTTTAAACATCATGTGTATAACGTGTATCCTCTATTGCCAGTGTGTGAAATTAATGTAGCATCTTTAGAAGTGAATGTGAATGTGAATGTACATATGCTATCGCTAATCAAATCTTCGACCGCTTAATTGGGATCATTTGTCTCTAATTATTTCTCTATGTGTGACTCTTGCCTATGTGAATCACACCCACACAGGAAATCTTTAGGCAAACAAATGCTCCAGGTTAATTAGGTGTGCGAGAAATTTTAAAATTAAAGACTTTAATTTAAATTAATTTTACTTATTAAAAGTTTGGTTTAAATAAATCAATTCATTTTTTTAATTTAAATTCTTAGTTTTGGTAATATTAAAATTTTAATAATAAATTGTAAAAACAAACATTATCTAATTTTTAAATATTTAATAATTCATGTAAAAGAATATGTTTAATAAATTAAAAGTAATTTTAATATTAGATAATATTTAATGACTTAAAAATAATTTTAAATATTGAATAATTTTAAAAGTTATTGATATATACATCTTATGTCAACATCTCGATATGTACAAAGGAGAGAAACATAAGAGACATAAGTGGATGGGAGCAAAGACAAGAAAAGTGAAACAGAGAAAGATTAATTTATATTTTTATTTATACGAAATTTTAATTTAAATACTTTGCATATGCTATCATAGTAGAAGAAGAAAAAAGTGGTAATTATATTAGAAAATTAACAATAATTTTAATTTAAGATAAAATATCAATTACACTCCTTAATTTGTGTATTGTTCTCTAAAGAGATTAAATAAAAGTTAAAATTAAAAATTAAAAATAACAACATATTTGTATACAAGTAACATTTAACACATGTTTCTACGTACTGATCTCTGCCTCTAGGATATGTCATCAATAAAATTGTAAATGATTTATTTATGAGATTCACCCTGTTATGAAAACTTAAAACTAAAATCATTTAATTAATTAAAGAATTTCATCTATAGAAATGGGTTTTGAACCTTTCCTCCGCAAATACTTAAAGAAGTTTTAAAAGTAAACTTTAATTTTGTGTATAACAAATTTGTAATCTTAAAACTTAAATTGATATATTCATATAAAACATAATTACCCTTTCAGTGTTTAAAGTTTAATAAATTTACCTTTTAGCCTAGTTAAAAAATCAATTTTAGTTTATATATATATATATATATATAATTTTTTAAATATTTATTACAAAATTAATAATATTACTTTATAATAATCTATAACATAAAATTAAATTTTCTATAGTGCGTGGGCTCAAAGTATTCACTATAAAAGTTTAATCATTATATGATATTATTTATGCATATACTCCGTCAAAGAACATTTTTTCTAAATCTAATGAAAACATTTACACTTTAACATAAATATCAGTAAAATAGTGGTCTTTATGAAAAAAATGACATGATTGTGATTGATTATTATATAATATATATATATATATATATATAAAGACTAAAATAGAATATTTTTAATTGTAAGGACTATAAAATAAAATTTATTAAATTATAAGAATAAAAAAAGTAATTAAACTTTCACATAATCATATACTTAAAATTTTTTTTTTACCTCTTTAACATATATTATAATTCCACCTTGATAAAGTTATCTCCGGTTCCTAAATAAATTAATTATAAACAGGGTGTAAGATTCCTATCTTACACTCTAGTTCTTGTCATTCATGTCCTATTCCCAGTCGTCTTTCATTACATTGATTAAGAAATAAATTAAGTTTAAAAAATCGTATATAAAGATTAAATGAAAATAAAATATAGTATATATAAAAAATAAAATAAAAAAATATTTTTAATAGTAAAAATAAAAAAGATAAAGTTCGAAATTATAAAGGTGAAAAAATTGTAATTAAACTTTCATATATTCATATATTTTAAAGTCTATGTATTTTTGACCTCTTTAATTAACATATATTATAATTCGAGCTTGATAAAATTGAAGTTGTATGCAATTCCTAAATAAGTTGATTATAAACGGTGTAAATTCATATCATACACAAATTAAGACGAACCACTGCGCACCAACTGTTTGATAATTGCCTTGTTAGCGGAAAGAACATATATGTATGACAAACATCAAATATCAGTATGCGAGTCTCCTGAACGGGTGGACGAGGTCATGTTTGTCTATTTTACTACTAATGAATTTTATTTTATTTTTGATAATTAAAGAGAAATGAATATTTCACTACAGACAAAGTTAATATTCAATTATTGGAACCGAAAACCATTCATTAAAATAAAACAATTTGGTTCAAGCACTTAATTTTAGCTGCTAATGAACGCTGAACAATGGACGAGATTAATTTTTTTGTTTCAGCTGGAAACAGCAATTGGTGAAATGGATTCACCACATAATCAGTAAGAAATTCTTGTGCAATCGATGTATGAAGTATGATCATATATATAAACTTATTCTCTCATTTTACGTTTTTATGTGTTAGTTGTCAACTAATGATTGATTGTGGCTTTCTAGAGTTGATTAAAAGACCTAGCTGGAATAAATATTTAACGCGTTTTCATCAAAACAATATGCTTAGACCTTATATCTCGATCAACGTCCTACATGATATTTATCCCACTATATGAGCTAGAGTTAATAAAAATAAATAAATCCTCCGCTCAATAAGAAATTAAACCAGCAAATTATTAAATATACTTTAATTGCTTTTGCAAAGGTATGTTGGTGTCACATATATGATTTTCCTCAGGAGTCTGGCTTGGAATAGTTAATATATTGTGGTATATGACTGAATCATGCCAAGATGTACCTTTATTTTTGATCTGGTTTCTCACTTATTCACTGGCAGAAATAATGAACAGAATTACAAATCCCCCAACCAAATCTATCCTTTTATTTTACATGAAAAAAGGTGGATTTCTTAGCTGTTTTATAAATTTACTGCCGAAAAAAAGCTTCTCAATGGCTCTACAATTATTTGCAACCCTTGGGTGGATTTCATGATGAATCAACTAATTAACCTCAGGAATGGTCTCTAGCACGGGCCTCCACAATCTGTGACGATCATCATGATCTCTTGCCTTTATTAAGCGAAGCAGAACTTGTTCTGCAGAAGCTGTCCCTGCTTGCATCTTATTAAGCTGTTGTTGCTTCTCCAACAATTCTGTTAGCTCTTTCTTCGAAATCTTTATCTTCACCGTCCCATTGACGTCAGGAGAAACTCTTAGGGCTTCCATAAGCTTCTCCTTCTGCACTTTTCCCAAACTCAACCCATGACCATGATCTTGGTTGCTTGAGCTTGTGTTTTTAGACGTCAAAAAACTCCAGTCCTCGCCGTCCCACTCCATTGATGATACCGGCTTGCAACAGTTTCCCATATTTGCACAGATGAATGATATCTATGATGAGATGGTTGCTTAAAATTGTTTGAGTATGATGTATGCAATAAATAAAATATGGAGATCAATATCTATGGTTACGTTACGTGTGTGTTACTTAAAATAATGAAGTTTTGTGATGAGTGATGAGAGAATTGTGAGATGGGAAGTTATTATATATGATGGGAAGTTATTATATATAAATAATGGGAATACTTGCAATTGGATGATTAGTTTATTCAATGTGACGACACGGAAAGCTAGATCAGGCCTCGTTCTGATGCGTGGCAGCCGAAAAGGTGGCTTGCTTGACCAAGTTATATGTATATGTCGATCGCGTACGTGTGAAATGAAGGTTCATATATGTATATGTTGATCAAGGGAAATTAATGTAGCATGCATCTTTGGGAGTGGCTAACCAAGTGAACATGAACGTTCATATGCTATTCAAGTCTTGGACTTGGGATGTTTTAAGTTCGTATTTGGTTATTCTATTTTTCTAATTGAGTAATAATTATTTTTGTTTTATATCTAGCTACCGTGTGTATCCATCACCTTCATGCAAAATCCAATTCTTTCTCATCATTACGCTATCATATCTTATTTTCCTATTTTCTTCTTATCTCTTTGATTTGTAAAAAAAATATACGCAAAATTAATGTATAACTATATTTCTCTAAGCTTGTACTATATTCATAAATAAATAAAAAGTATATAGCAGAACGGTACAGATTTGTAAAATACTGTGGAACCTGAATGCGTTTGCCTGGAGTGCATCAGAAGAATCGGTTTGTTTCTGTTGCTCAATTCCTTCTTCTCCTCGACAAGGATCGATGCTCCATTAGTCCATTATGTGTAAGTGTAATCATGACAGTTTGACCTGCAATAACGTTTTAAATCTTTCATTGACAAATGACATTTTTATTTGATTTATACTTTCTAGCCGCACAAAATGTGTCTCATATATATAGCCTTGGTAATTTTCATTTTCACACGGTCTTCTCCCTCACATTTATATTTCTCTCCTCTTATTTTTGGACAACCAAATAACCCCAATTTCTCATTTTACGGCTATTTCTCCTTTTTATTTTTTATTTTTTATATTTTATATTTTTTTATTATTTCTCTAACCAGTAGTGGATGCAATCTGCAGGGCGTTTTTTTGCCAAAAATATTTATTTAATATATATTTATGTAACTTTGGTGTATTTTACTTATTTTTATATACATGAAGATATTTATATATTATGATTATATGAGATTTATTTTGAAATTTTAAATATTGTACACTCGGATTTTGGTTTTTCGTGCTAATTCCTTACCATGTTAGTGACATTTTAGTACATGGTACTATCTATTATTATTTCACAATTATATGAAATTAATTTTTGGTCCTTATGTAATTAAATGTTTATTCTATTATCCGTGATTATATTATCACATTTTATTAGCCATAATTATATATCCTTAGCCTGTATAGTTGTAATCTCGCTCACTTATGTTAATTTATGTGTTGCTTGAAGGATTTAACCATATTGTTAATTTTCTATTTATATTAAATTAATAATAATTATACTTTGTTGGTGTGTAGTTATATTTGTTATTGTAAAACGTGCCATTAGTTTTGCTTGTGCATTGTATTGTTATATTATTTTATTTATTTGTTAGAGGCATTTATTAATTCTAAAATTGCATGCAATTGTCTCAATATAGACCAATTAAGAGAATTGGAAAGCTAATATGAATTTGACTCTAAGAACTTAAAGCATGTGTCCCTCCCTAATGAGTCCTATTAAACTTGTAGTACACGAAGACTAAATGATAAACTTGAGAGAAAAATCTGAGAGAAAATTTTATTCCGCATAAACTTCTCATGACATGTTTTGTCTGATAAACTTCTTCATAGTCTACTTTATTACCTTCAGAGACGCCCTAGCTATTAGATTGTTCTTATTTATCTATTTGATCATGAGGCAAAAAAGTAGTGTACATGAGTATATCATAAAATTGGTAAACTATGATAATTAGCCTGTCTTAAAACTGAAGTCATTGAAGAGCCTGATTTGAGCATATAATTTGATGACAATATCACTCATTCAATTGCAAAAATAATAAACTTAATTGCAAATCCCTCAACCAGATCTATCCTATTATTTTACATTAAAAAGTTGAATGAAAAAATGGTACAATATTTCTTAGCTGTTCTATACATAATTTACTGGTGCAAAAAGCCTTCTCAATCTCTACACTTATATGCAAATGCAAGCCTTGAGCACCAGTAGTGAATCGCAGCATCATTCAACTAACCTCAGGAATACTCTCTAGCACGGGTCTCCACAATCTGTGACGAGCATCGTGATCTCTTGCGTTTTTTAAGCGCAGCAAAACTTGTGCTGCAGAAGCTCGTCCTACTTGCTTCTTATTAAGATGTTGCTGCTTCTCCAGCAACTCTTCCAACTCTTTCTTTGAAATCCTTATCGTCACTTTCCCACTTGCATCAGAAGAAGAAGCTCTTAGCGCTCCCATAAGCTTCTCCTTCTGCAATTTTCCTAAATTCAATGCATGACCACGAGTTTCGTCAAACACCTTGGTGGAGGACTTGTTATCCGAAGTCATAAAGCTCCAGTCCTCGCCGTCCCACTCCAATGATGATGCGGGCTTGCAACAGTTTCCCATATTTTCACAGATGAATGATATGTATGATGAGATGGTTGCTGAAAATTGTTTGAGTATGATGATGTATGTAATTAATAAAACGAAGCTCGATATATATATATATATATATATATCTCAGGTGATGTATGTGTTACTTAAGTCTCGGAATAATGATGGAGATATTTGTGAGGTGGGAGGTTTTAATTTGATAGATATATATAGGTGGTGATGTAAGGGAAATGGATGATGGATTGATTACTATTATATTGTTTATTTGCAATTGGATGATTACTTTATGTATTGTTTAATACTTTAATTCTGATGACGGGGTCTCGTTTCTGTGCATGGCAGCCGAAAGGTGGCTTGACCATATGTGATTTTAAACGGCATGTGTATGTCGTGTGTACGACCACGTTTTATCTTGTGCAGGCACTGTCAGTGTGTGAAATTCAGTGGCTAACCAAGTGAATGTGAATGTGAACGTACGTATGTATGCCAATCAACTATTCGACTTCATTGGGATCCTCTTTTGCCTTTAATTACTTTTTGGGTTGGAATCTCACCCTCCCCATATTACTTTATCCCTTATTATTATATTGATGTTAATTTTTTTATTCTCAAATTTACCCGGTGATTCAGCTGTTTTTTATTTGGTACGTAATTAAAAGTTTAGATAAAAACAAAGTTCAACTTTATGTAATAAGATAAAGTTAATCATCAATTTCATTAAAAAAAATTTAGTAGAATTACAAATTGTTTATTGCATTTTCAATACAAATATACATAAAAAAAATATAAAATACGAAAAAAGTCATGTTTAATCCAATATCCGAATAAAAGTAAAGAAATTTAACCACTCGATATATTCTAATCAATTTTATTTAACATGTGATTTTTATATTAAGAATTTAAATTTTGTTACTTAGAGACTATATTAACAAACAACCACTTATCTAGAATATAATTTTTTTTTATTTATGAAAAATTCATGTGATATATATGAGTTTACTAGCTTACTCACATTTGCTTTTTTGATGGAGTAAATTAGCAAATACTTTATTGACATAGATTCATTTTTAGTAAGTTTTAACTAAAGATTTTTTTAAAATAGACTTAAATGTAATTTGTTAACTTGTTCATTTAAAAAAATCATAAGTTAGCAAACCTCGTATAATTTATTCAATAACCGAATCTCTTGACCTAGTAGTTATAATATCTACCCTGGGATATAAGGAATCATCCTAGTGGTCCCAAGTTTGATTTTTTATCTATGCAAAAATAATATTTGATCAGTAGAAGTTACACCTTACGAACAAAGATTAGTCTTTAATTGTCGACTTTAAGACATTGCATAAATTATGTCTATGAACCAAATAAAAAAATATCTTTACTCAATTTTTTTTCTTCATGTTTTTGATCCTTATTATAGTTTTACAAATGTGTAATTTTAGTTTTCTAAATTTTTCAATTAAAAATTTGATTTTTTAAATTTTTACAATTAAACAATGTTAGTCCATTATTATAATATGACATTCAAAATCAAACTAAAATTATTGATGAGTATCCATGAGTCACAATACATGTAGTTAGTTAATCATGTATAGGAAAATAGTAGTTTTCAAAAAATTAAAATTGTTTATAATAGATTATACATAAATTTTAATTAAAATAAAAAATAAGTGTAACATATATATATAGTAAAAAAAATGCTATTCCTTACATAAAATTAAAAGCTAATGTCGCCAAATGACTTTTAGGTAATCACTCACGGATTTAATATTGAATTGCAGGTTAACATGAACCAAGATCATTTGATTTTGAAACTAACTGGATTAAATTTGTAATAAAAATTTAGGAAATCAAAATTGAATAATTTCAGAATTATGAAGTGAATTAAAACATTTTTCTTATGTAATTAATATGATGAGTTCATGAATTGTTTACTATCATATTAAAAAAAATATAGCATTTTAAGAATTTAACAACCAACAATTTTTTTATACATACTAACAAACACATTTTAATGTTTGACAGTTTTTTTTTTATCATTTAATAAATAATATTATTTTATCAATCTAAACAATCATGCTAAATTACTAAAATTGAGTTAATGATAAAAAATAAAAAAATAGTATATATATATATATATATATATTTAATGTCCTAAATTTAAACTTTGTTATCGTGGTTCCAATTCTTACTTATAAAAAAAATACTTATTAATTCCTCACAAATTGAAAGTTCATGTGTCTAAAATAATAGCTATAGAAAAATTATGATACTATCGAAAATTTATTAGAAATTTAAGAATTTTAGTATTGTTATGGGAAAAAGATTTTTTTTTTTTTTACATATGTTAAAATTCTTTATTAATTCAGGAAAAATAATTGTACTAAAACCCTTATTATTTTGTTTTATAATAACGAAAACCTTGAAATTTCTACCGTAACAACTCTCTAGTTGAACCTGCTTAGAAAGATGAAATGTTTCTACATCTTTTTCTTTTCCCTTTTCGTTTTTCTTTTTTTTAAACTTTTTTGACCGATAGAAATTAAAGATTACATCTTTAGCAAGCTGTCAGCAACACAAAATAATTCTTTACATCATCCACGATCAACGGAAAATTGAAAATCAAATGCATCGCGGATTCCAAATAGAAAAAAACAAATTAAGGAGATTGGCAAATTTTAAGTTCCTCGTTATTTGTCGAAGTCGGAATGCAAATATTGCATAAAGGAATTTTGAGGAGAAAGATGACAAATTAACAAGTTAAGAAAGAAGTGTGTAATTAGGTCAGTGCGTTCTTATTTTCACACTTCTTTTTTATACGCTGTTTTGGTGCTTAAGATTGGTCTCTGCAATTTTTACACACGGATCTCTATATCCAGGAATTGGAATAGCACAGGTGGTGCAACACGTGGAGTGATAAGTTCTATCTTCCATTAAACATTTTTTTAAGCTATTATTCTTGTAAAAAAAAAAAAAAATGTGTTTCAGCGTATTAAAAAGTCCTACGTAATTTAGAGTAAAAACTCAAAATAATTTTTAAATATCATTCTCTATTAAGTCTTAACCTACTAAAATGCATTTTCAAGACAACCGAGACGAGTCACCAAACACTAAAACAAACATTACTTCATATTTCTCACAATGATCATATTCGAGTATTATCGAAACTAAATTAATATGGACACATGAATCAACTATTTGATTCCTCACAATACCTCATATAAGATAATTTCAACGACATTAAAATATATATATATATATATATATATATAGAAAAAGACATTAAGAATTCAAAGGTTTAAATGTATTAATTTAGTTTAATCCATTAGTCTAGGGTTTTAATGATTTGTGAACGATGAATAATGAGCGGATGCTACCCTACACACGTACGAAGAGAAGACACCAAAGAGTTGGATAATTTCGTCTTGTGACAGAAAGAGTATGTTTGTACGGCAAACAGCTAATATCTGTAATTAAATATTATCAGGACGTTTGCCAAGTCTCCCGAAATGGTGGACGAGGTCATGCTTCTCTGTTTTTCTGCTATTATATTACTATTACATTCCATTCAACTCTAGCTTTTCTTATTTTTATATTATCATGAAACAGCGATGAAGTACTAAAATACAGGTCCACCATGCAATCGATGTCTGATCATATATATAAACTTATTCTCTCATTTTATTATCTACGTTTTTCATGTGTTAGTTGTCACTTGACTCAACTAATTATGATTGATTGTAGTTTCTAGTTTTCTACATATCGTTGATTCAAAAGACCTAGCTTTTTAACGCGTTTTCATCGGAACAAAATGCTTAGACCTTGTATATCCTAAATCAGCACTTAATTATTCAGTGGCAGAAATAATGAACTGATTTACAAATTCTATGATCTTTACATGAAAAAGTTAAAAGAAAAAAAGATGGATATATTCCTTAGCTGTTCTATACAATTAATTAATGACGCAAAATACCTACAATTATTTGCAATCCTTGAGTCGATCTTATGATGAATCAACTAATAACCTCAGGAATGGTCTCTAGCACGGGCCTCCACAATCTGTGACGAGCATCATTATCTCTTGCTTTTATTAATCGAAGCAGAACTTGTTCTGCAGAAGCTGTTCCTGCTTGCTTCGTATTAAGCTGCTGTTGGTTATCCAACAACTGTGCCAACTCTTTCTTGGAAATCTTTATGGTGACTTTCCCATTTGCATCAGAAGAAGAAGCTCTGAGGGTTCCCATAAGCTTCTCCTTCTGTACTTTCCCTAAATTCAATGCATGAGCATGAGCTTGGTCAAACACTTTGCTGGAGGAATTGTTCTCAGACATCAAAAAGCTCCAGTCCTCACCGTCCCACTCCATTGACGATGCCGGCTTACAACAGTTTCCCATATTTTCACAGATGAATGATATCTATGATCAAATGGTCGCTCAAAATTCTTGATGCAGTAATTAATCAGTGTGTAGTTAATGAAATGAAGATTGATATCTGCGGTTACGTGTATGTGTTACTTGAGCATTGAAATAATGAAGTTAGTTTGAGAGATGCGGAGATTATAATTAGATTCTTATATATATATAGGGGTGATGTGAATATATAATGAGTTTGGATTATTAGTTTACTATTAAATATATATATCTCACGGCGGCATCCGAAAAGGTGGCTTGGTGGACCAAGTTTTATTTGAATGTACGTGAATGTCGCGTACGACCACGCTTTATTTATTTTCTGTTGAGTGTGTGAAATGAAGGGGTGAAAATAGCATCTTTAAGAGTGCCTAATCAAGTGAACGTTCATTTACTACTGAATTCTCTGTAGACACCTCCACATTTTTCATTGGCAAAGGAAACTAATTAAGAGAAAGATGATAACAACTTAAGAAAGGAATATTTTCATACAACTTTCTTAGTGTTGCATTTCCTCTATGACCAACGCTATAATAATTAAACGCAATTCGCCTAATGAATTAATCCACTACTTTTTTGTTTGTAGCCATCATATCCAGGCTTTTTAATTATAAATATTTCATTAACCAAAATACTAATTGTTAACACTTTATACAAGAAAAAGTACACTCAGAATATGCATAAACTTAAAAAATGTAATTAATATTCTCTGTTATATGTAAAAATCATTATACAATTTTATAATAAATTCTTGATACAAAAATGGATTCCCATACATATAAAGAGGTAATGATTTGGTGGACTTACATATATATAGCTGAGGGAGTGTAATTTAAGCAAAGAGTTATTATTTTTTACTTTTTCTAAATTTATAATTTAAGCTCATTGTGTTTAATTTCTCGATTGTTTAATTTTTATTTTTTTTTTACTTTTATTGGCTAATTTTTCTTATATTTTAGTCTCTTTTTAGCTCACCTTTCATTCTTAATGTGTGTCTCATTTTTCATGTGATATTTATGTCTATATATAATAATAATAATAATAATAATAATAATAATAATATGATAATAATAATTATTATTATTTTAAAATAAATTATTTTACTGACTTAAGGTCTTAAGTTGGTCACACTAAAAAACACTTTCATGAGATTTTGACATTCAAAAATTTACTCTATGGTGCTTATAGTACTTCCATATCAACTTAAAATTATATTACCATATTTTTCGTTCCCTTAACTTGAATAATAATATTTTTTAAGTTTTAGGATTTTGTTTTATTTATTAAATATTACCACCATCCTACTTCTATTACTGGTATCATTGCTATTATCACAATTATTATTATTGATCTATTGTTATCATCACCATCACTTTTATTAAAATGATAATAATTAATTAATATTAAAAATATTATAATAAATTTAATATTATTTTATTTATATAAACTATTATTCACTTAATTCTCTAATAACTTAAACAATTGTTTTACCATGTTGTTCTTGTAGCATAGTGGCACATAAATGATAAATGGATGGAATGGGAGGAACAGTGGATAAAACAGTGAAGGAAGAAGAATAACGAGGAAAAAAAGAATTGAAAAAGTGAATAATATGTGGAGAAAATGAATAATGATAAGGATAGGTTGAATATATGATTGCCCGTAAATTGCGACGCAAACGAGAGCATGTCTTTTAATTTAATATATACATAAGAAGCAGAATTGGTCATTGATTATTCTTAATCTTATCCCAATCAACACAGCATTCACTATTAGCCCAGTTGATATTTCTATATACATATATTTTCAAATATCCGTTTCCTTTTCTGTAGTGGTCATGAATGATGAGCGCTATCCTGTATATGAAGAAAATGAAAATGTCTAAGCTGAACCCGATATACAAAACGCTCACTCAAAACTCCTACACGTACGTTTTTCGCATTTTAATGTGATTTGTCTTTTCAAATTACCCCACTAAATGTAATCACAACTAAATTACTTTCTCATAACCGATCATCTTTTCCAGAAATTAGGAATCCGGTCCACACAGTATTTACATAATTAAATTTCTTCAATTTTAAAATAACGTTTCATCTCAACTTCTATAAATCTAAATTAGTCTTTTTGATTTTCAATTGTGAGATAAAAAATATATTATTTTGAAGAAAAAGAAATTGGAAGCAACATTCTTATACTAGAATATTAAGACATGAGCATAAATTTACGACTTAATTTACGAATAGGTGAGTTACCTGGACTTTCTTATAATATCAATTCTTAATTTTTAATTTCGTAATTTAGTTCTTTAATTTTTAAAATTCGTAATTTTATTTTAATCGTTAAACCTTTATCTTAACTGTAATATATATATATATATATATATGGGGAATGCTAATATACTCCCACTTATTTTTTAGTGGGAGTATGTTAGCACCCTACACTAAAATTTTATGACAAAAAAATCACTCATTTCTTTTGATTTGATAATTCGTACAAAGGATATTATAGTAATTTAATTTAATTTTAAATTAAAATAAAATATTTTCTCTCTCTTATTAAATTCATTTTCCAATTCATTTATTTTTTCTATTAATTAAAAATTAATAAGAGAGAGAGAAAATATTTAATTTTTATTT